TGGCAGGGTCCCCACGGCTCCCCCTCCTTGGTTAGTGGGTACTCCCAGCCCTGCCCTGGTGCCCTGGTGCCCAAGGCCCAGCTGCAACCTTTGTGGTCCCACGTGCTGTTCAGGGGCGAGAAATCAACTTTGTGTCTTCTTCGGTGCCCTGAAGGGATGCCTGGCATCTGCCCGGCATCTGCCTCTTGCCCTGGCTGGGGGTGAGGGCGAAAAGGCGATGGGAGCCCTGGCCAGTGTGGCCCAGGTGGGTGAGTGCGCCCCGTGCACCAAAGGGTCCCAGTAGATTCCGGGTCAGGGCACATGCTGGGGGTTCCCGCCCCATCCCCAGCAGGGGGCGTGCAGGAGCCAGCCCTGGATGTTTCTTTCTCAGGGCCTCTCCCTCTCCTTCTCCCGCCCTCAAAATCAATAAGAAGCGTATGAAAAGAAAAAAAAGTGATTGGACGCTCAGAGGAGAACTGTCGCCTTTGTAAGCAGCCCAGCTGAGGCTCTCCCGCTGGACCGAACCCTCTCCCATGCCTCAGGGGTTGGCTGTTCTCCCAAACAACCTCTGCTGACCGTGCCCGGGGAGAGAGACCCTCAGACGCTCATGTCCCTCTCATTTTTATCTTATATTTAATTGGCAACAATGTCCGCCTTGATTTCCTTTTTTAAAACATCAGACATTTTCCGATAGAAACATCGACCAGCCGCCTCCCACATGCCCCCTACCAGGAATGGAGCCTGCACCGGGGCATGTGCCCTGACTGGGAATCAAACCAGCGACCTTTCAGTGCACAGGACGACACCCAGCCAACTGAGCCACACAGGCCAAGGCCAGTTTATCATTTGGCGAGAAAGGAGAGGACAAGGTGACCAGACAGTCCCCCTCCTGCCTGGAACCCTGGCATATGACATCTGAGAGGAGACATGTGTTCTGGTGCCAGGGGACACGTTTTTCCAGTCGTGCCCTCTGGCTCGGGAACACAGATGGTTCTGTAAAGTGATTCTGATATGCTTGGGGTGGGGAGGGAGTGTGGAAAAGTATTTCCCCTTCCTCAAGGTCCCTGTGGGACCCCCCCCCCCC